AGAGAGAGAGAGAGTGTTGATTTAAGACCTCCCTATATTTATAAACCACTTTGTAATCATCATGATCCCTGAAACCCATACAAAATCAAGCGAGAGAGAGGGCTTTACCGGGAAAGAGAGATTGTGATGATGCTCTACTAGGGTTTTGAGACGAGCTTGAGAGGGAGAAGAGTATGTGCAAATTAGAGAGGGAAAATTATATTTCGGATGGCTTTTTTTTTTTTCGCGACAAATAAGGGGATGGCTTTTTTTAAGAGAGAGATGCAAACAATGGATTACCCGTCATGTGCGTAAAAGATTTTCCAACCCACCCTGTGCGTAATCGATTTCATGATTTTGGGGGAAATCTTGTGTAAGCTATTCACATTTCCTTACTATTAAAGTGTACCCAAACAGTGTAAATGTCATATTTCCTAGTAAGCTATTTCCTATAATATATTTTCAGGTACCCAAATGGCCTCTTAAGGGTTCCGAAATTCTTTAAGAGTGCCAACCCTTTGGGGGTTGAACCTATAGGCAAATATGCATGACAATTTAGAAGGTGGTAATCCGCAGTCGATCAGAGACTGACAGTTGGCCGTGCCACAACATGCGGCATACATTCTCTCACGTCTGTGCTGCAAGTCCCGGCGTAGTTTGCTAACTGACTCTATTTTGTTGCTTATTTTCTCGGGATTTTTATTTCCATGATAGTTTCTTATTGTTTCTAATAAAATTGCCCGGTTAATGGAATTTTTGAATATTTGATTACTTTTTCCTTCATAAACTTGCATGTTTTGGGGATTTGATTTCCTAAGGCTAATTTCTATGGGATTTGGGATTATTTTGTGTTGGATTATGGATTAGGCATGGCTATGGTTCACTATGGTTATAATGCTTTTTATATAATTTTATGGGGTATTTTATTGCCTTAAGATCTAGAAAGTCATAAGAAATATGAATTCCAAATGAGGTGTCTACAATTGCCCCTCTATGGTGCAGCCTACCTTTTTAAGGACAACTCAACGGCAAAGATGTAGATACCATAGACACAAATGAAATGGAATGGAGTGACTTAAAGAACTTATAACTAATCCTGGAAGGATGGTCATCTTAGCAGGTCCATTAGTACATTGACTGCCACGCTATCTAGTTGCTTGCATAGGAATTAACAATTATAAGCACTGAATGATTGATTTATGAGGGTTTAGAATGGGGTTTTGTAAAAATAGCAACGTATGATTGGTAGGTCTAAGAAAAGACTATAGTCATTGATGGTTTCTTAAGAGAGAAAGGATCACGTGGTGCAGGCATGGCTTCTTCTCCAAAATGGGGCCTTGAAGTTGTAGAGGGAGAGAGTTGCAATTGGGCATCATAGGGATTGAGAAAGAGAGAGAGAGAGTTGCAATTGGGCATCATAGGGATTGAGAAAGAGAGAGAGAGAGAGAAAAAGGTTAGAAGTCCGAAGGTTAGCCGGTTGGCCAAGTCCTTAAAAAAGTAGGGCTTAGGCCACAAAATGCGGCCCGAGAGTTGGTGAGGTCTCATGCGGGCCAGCTCGACGTACCTTGGCCCTTTTTATTGTTTATTTTTTTCATTTATTTTTGGCTTAGACTGATTAGGCTCCGATCCTCTGTGGACAACGGCTGGAGTAGGGCCAAAGCTGGCTGGCCAGTGGCCATGGCCTGGCCGGGCCCGTTGCCCCCTTAGAAAAAGAAAAGGGAAAAAAAAAGGGTACGAGGTAATAGGGCAAGGGGCTTCCGGTGCCCCAGTTTGGGAGAAAAAACACGTGCAAAAATAGTGAACCAACTAAGAACTGGTCTAAATTAGTGAATCCACGTTTTTACCGTAGCAAAACAACACTTTTATGACTTACCCAAAAAAAAGAGGAAAAGCATAGAATGAGGCCATTTACCTTTGGTACAAGGTGGTCGCAATTAATCTTGACCATTGGATGTGAAATTGGGTGGCTGCATTTATTCTATTGACCAAGCTCAAACTTCAAAAGAAATTATCTCGAACTTTGTGACTCTTCTAAACTATCAAATTTTACATCGGATGGTTGTATGTAATTGTGACCACTATACAATCCAAAAAAAAAACGGCACTTGTATTGTAGCAAAACAGTGTTTTACTGTAGCAAATAGCCAGTTCTCTTCTAAACCCGGGCGATTCCCTATATATTCATAGAACCGACACAAGATGACCAATTCCCGGGTCGGACCGAGCGATTTCGTGCCGACCCGGCTTTTTTTAATTCACTGGTTCCTTTTGCTGCTGATTCGGATAGTTTGGGCCTCTAGAGAGAGAGACAGCTGCGTTGCTCAATATGATATGTTAACTCGCTTTGAGTCAATGTTGATTGCCCAAAATTAATTTGAGTCCTATCCGTCAGGTTTGTATAATTGTATGTACCCAAGCTCCTGTTTGTTCTTTTCCTTTTCAAGCACCTCTGAAACACTCCTTTCCGGTTGCCCCTTCGCCCTGCTGCGCCTTAGCTACTAACTTGAACCTACCAAACCTAAACTAAACTAAACTTACAACGAGTTCAGTTGTTAAGCTATTGTTTCAAAGACTATTTAATAATTAGAGACTAATCGTGCCTCTTCTTTCTGGCACAGAGAGAGAGAGAGTGCTGCGTTGAGAGAGAGATAGAGGGGGCTGCGTTGTTAGAGAGAGAGGGCTGCGTTGTTCAAGTACCCTTTGCTGCCCTCTTATTTCTGGTAGACAGAGAGAGAGAGGATGGAAGGGGAGGAGGAGCAGAAGAGTGAGCCTGTTCTAGCATGGATGAGAGACCCTGTGGACATTGACCTCTATCAAGCAGAATGCCCCCTCAGGCTGGTGCCCGGCTTAGACCCCAGGTTCGTAATACCTCTCCTTCTTCTTCATTTCTCATTCCGCACACAAAACCTTGATTTCCTCATCCTTCACTGTCTCTTTATCAACTGTTGTTTATTTATTATTAGTCCTTGGACTGCATTTTTGAAGCACTCTGTGCAAAATCTTAAACACAAAGAGGCACAAAACCAGAGAATTATTTGTTGATTGAATATTGATGAACTAGTGTCATTATTGCTGTCGAGACTTAAATTATAACATGAAACTTCACATGCGTATGGATTTGGTTTGCGTGGGGGTGCTTCGAGAAGCAATTTACTCGATATCCACGGCAAATTGTCCATTTTTACCTGTAACTTTTACTTGTGAATTGCATGACTTCTTGTTGGTTTCTTTTCCTTTTTTTTTCATCGATAACTTTTTTTTTTTTATCATTATTTTAACCTGTAAATGATGAGTAAAAGAGGTCCAAAACGGCTAGCTAATATTGGATTTTGTTGTTCTAAGTAAAAGAGGTCCAAATTTTCTAGCTAATGTTGGACTTTGTAGTTCTGCCACTTTTACCCCCTGAGGCTCCCCATGCAGGAAGAGCCACCTAGTAGATGGCTCTTCTACCCCGGACCAGCAATAGATTGAGCCAGAATTGGGGCGTCCTTTTTTCTTTACGGAACAGCTATGATTTCAGGTTGAAGTTTATCGATGAACAAATAAATGAAGGTGCTTTATCTGGGGTCAATGAAGCCCCAGATGTCCAAGATGAGGGTCCTCATTTTATATGGTGAGAAGTATGGTGATGCGATCGGGGTGTCCACGAGGTGATCAATGAAGGCAGAAGATACAGGGGCAGTAGTTGGGTAATCGCTGATAATTGACTTGTCGTAGTTGATATTGCATGTGAGGTTCTTTTGCTCGCTCACTCCTTTGGCCTTCCCTTTTAACACCCTTGTCTATGTATGTTTCTCGATCTGAAACTTCTATCAAGATGTGAACCAATCCTAACTTTTTAGAAGCTGGGGATCTTCAGTCAAGGAGGATGAATTTACCACAAGAGGTACCAATCTGTTGAATGACTTGGGCGTTCCACACTTGGAAGGGAATGCTTGTGGCCCAGATCCAAATTTTCTTGAATCTTCTGGCGCCATTAACAGGGACTGGGGGTAGTTGTAGCCTTGTAGGCTCGCCTCCTTGAATATCAAGTGTTGGATGTGCTGAAACTCTCACTTATATTGGAGAAAGAACAAGACTAAAACCCCTTCTAGCAAATTGCAGAAATGTCAGATTTTCAAGAGTTTCTGGCCCTGGATGTTATCCCTTTAATGTAATGTCAAGGGGGGAAGAAATACTGACCAAGGAGGCCGTGAGGCAATGCAATGTCTCATCAGTGATTGGTACGCCCACAACAAAAATGTGAGGATCAGTGACTGACTATGATTTGTTGTGGTGGCCATGGAGGGGCATTCTGGTTGCCTGCTGAGGGGCAAGATGGCATATGCAGGAATTTCTGGAAGTGGTCCAACTTGCAGGGTGGGGTGGTTAGCAAAGATGAAAAGAGGTACAGGATGGTCTGTGGGACAAGAAGGGTCTACAGGCTCGAGGAGTGAGTTTTGGGGGGTTAGGGTACTGTAACTGATGGTATGGGACGGATAGTGGTCTACCATGGATGGTCGCCTTGGGAAGGTTGGAGTAAGGTAAAGTTGGGGGCGTGGGGTACTGTAACTGATGGTATGGGGGGAATAGTGGACTACCATAGAGGATAGGTTTGGGAAGGTTGGAGTAATGTAAGTTGGGTGAGCAGGAGTGAATAATGGAGTAGCATTTGGATGGTAGTAGAGATAGAGGAGGTAGAATGTGCCCCTCTAGGGGTTGGGGGGGCTGTGGGGATGCTACGTGATGGCGGTGATGGGCCATGTGGAGGGGATGCATTCGGATGGGGGCCGGATTCTTTTCTGGGGGCCTTCATCTCTCATCTTCAGCCAATATATCAACTGTTATATAGGTCTATTCATGTTTTTCATCAGCAAAACCGACATGCTCGTAATATTTCAAAAGGCGTGGTTAACATGCTCCTAAATAATTGATATTCAATGCAAATTGCTCTCTTGAGTATTTGATTTCTTAAGATTGGGGTTAGTTGTTCTTCATGTGCCTGTCTCGTTCTTTCTGTGCCCGGTTTATCAAACAAGTTAACACTAAGGATAACATTTTTAATTTAATGCATTGGGAGCTTCATTACATATGTCCTTACGCATGCTTTGAGTCTTATGTTTTGTTATATAATTCTTTGAGTCCAGAATGGAAAATGTTGTTTTGTAAGTAGAGTCTTCTAACAAGTTTATAGAATGGTCTCATGACACTAAATAAACTGCAATACAATGGCATCAATGCCTTGACTACCTAGAAAACATGTGTGGAATCCTTGAAGGGGTATGTCCATTGATATTTATCGTGTAAACCTTTGTAGTTGAGTCACATTCTATACATTATTGGACAGCATTTCACAAGTTTCGTATGCATGTATACTCATGTGCTTTGGGAAACATTTCCTGGCCAAACCCCTAGTAATGGCAAGTTATTTTCCTGTCATTGCGATCTTTTATTTGAGTGGCTATTTTCAAATCTGATTTGCAGTCCACTTTCATGGACTTCTATTGGTGACAAGTACATTACCTGTGCTCAACATATTTGCAGGGATCAATGAAATTATCTTGTATTTCTTATGCTCATTGGACGCATTTAGAAATTCTATCACTTATCCTTCGTAATCTGCGATCACCAACTAATTGTTGGCTTGCTACTTCCTAAACCTAGCATCATTATTTGAGGTCTTATCTCTTTCTCTCTCTCTCTCTATATATATTAGTATAGGCATACACTTAGACTAAAACATATATGGTTATTGAGCTTGTCACTTTAAACTTCTGGGCAGATTGGTGATGGCATTGCAAAACATGGGAATTAGTTCACTTTATCCTGTGCAATCGGCAGTCTGGCAAGAGACAATTGGACCTGGTGCTCTGGAGAGAGACCTTTGCGTAAATTCACCAACAGGAAGCGGAAAGACATTGGCTTATGCGTTACCTATTGTCCAAATGCTCTCAACTCGTTCTTTAAGACTTTTGCGTGCTCTAGTTGTGCTGCCTACTCGTGATCTTGCACTGCAGGTATATCTCCATAACTTCATTTTAAATTGTGAAGTTTGCTACACGTTTCCTTGGTTTATGTGATGGATTAATTGAAGAGTGTGTGTTGATGCTCATATCCTTAAGCACGCAAAATAATATAATTCAGTTATTTTCATGGAATTATACACTGCATCATGTACTTTCCCCTTTGAAAGAATATGGGAATTCCCTGTCAAGATAAAGAAGAACTAGTATCATATATAGTTGTATCGTTTTTTCTTACGGACAGCATAGAGAAGAAGCAGGGGTGGTAGGATGATTCAATTGGCATGGGTTTCAGTTCTTGAAAGTAACCTATAATTATTATTTAAGCAAAAAAGGGAAGGCTGTGCCTGAAATAAATCTTCAATACAATAGACCTTAAACACGCACACAAACACACACACACACACAGAAATATGGAAAGTACTCATGACAATATTGCACTTGGGATTATATACAATTATCAGTGTGCTCTAGCGATATTCCCTACAAATCTATGACATAAAAATTATGATTCTAGCCCCAATGTGCAACATACGATCTGTTATATCTAGGTGTCATGTTCACATAGAATATGTGTGATCACAAACGATAATCTCAAGATCTCAGGTCGTGAGCCATGTAAGCTATATCCTGTCCCATTATATCCAGATACACCACAAGACATAATACAATGTTAATAGATGTGATGTTATATAACATTTTCATTTTGAATTTAAGTTGAATGTTAAGCTCAGAAAGGGTATTGGTAGTTGCTTTTGTTATGATCCTTAGGAGGGAATCTTGCTTCTAGGAAGGTTGGTGTTCCTTTGGAGTTTGCCTTTTTAGATGGAGACCAGGAGGGATGTGCGAAGTCGAGTACTGCCTGTAGAGGAAGTTTGTGTCTAACCAAACACGCCGCAGCAGAAAAAAAAGAAAGAAAAAAGAACTGAAGGGAAGGCTGTGTCTATGCGATTGGTGGAGAGAACTAAGGAGATTATTGGGATATCGAGCTTATGGTAGTGACAATGGCTGAGAGCAGGTCATTTTATTGATGGAGAATGAAGACCCGCCTTTGTTCTTTTTCTCTGAAATTGGTTGCAATGGTGGGAGGAGTCCAATTGTTACTTCATGGCAGCAGATAAACATAGATGTGCATGGAGTGGGGCAGAGGTCTGATGCTCCAAGGGTGCTGACAAACAAAACGTGCATGGAATGGGGGAGAGAGAGAAAGGGCAATTGCAATAACGGTGACCCATGGCCAACAAGGAAGTCGTGTCTTCATTTTGTGGCTCGTGAATCAGCCAAGTCAGTGGCTCCTGCCACTCTACCAGAGAAGAGTTTGCTGTCCTCTTCTATCATGTCAGCCCATAGTTATGGGGATCTTGGTCAAGGGGTGGCGAACCCCTCTTGGAATCTCGATGTGGCAATCCCAGAGTTGGAGCTTAAGCAATACTCGCTTCCTACCATCAGGGGATCTTGATCCCGACCTATTGGGATTTCGGTTCCTAACTTAAAGGGATCTCGATCCTTGACTGCAAAGGAACTTGAACCATTCCAAATTGTCTACTTAATTCATGATTTTCATTAGTTTATATTATTACAGAGTGCATTACGGTGATGGAATTATTTCATATATTTGCTTTTTCTCCTTTTTTTTTTAAAATCTGTAATTTATTAATTTTTTCCTTGGATTTCATAATGCCCTTTGTGTCATTTCATGCATTTATTTTATCTCACTTCAAATATTCTTCCCTAAAATCTTTTCCTTGATTTTTAATTATTAATTCTCTCGTAATTTATATATTTATTAAACAAAATGTCTTTTCTACGTTTCAAAAGTGTCCACTCAATTGACGACTTTTTTATTTTAAACTATTTGAAAACTATGGCATTTTTATTGATTTATTTATTCTCTTAATTTTCATGTAAAGAATTTTGCCTCAGAAGAAAATCTTTTCTTGGATTTCATAATGCCTTTTATGTCTTTCATTTATTAAGTACTCCATTAATGTCATTTCATGCATTTATTGTATCTCACTTCAAATCTTCCCTAAAATCATTTCCTTCATTTGTAATTCTTAACATTTTCGTACATTATACAAATTGTCTTATCTACCTTTCAAAAATGTCCACTCAATTGACAAACTTTTTTTTATTTTATATTATTTGAAAGTGTATGAAAATAATGCTATTTTAATTGATTTATTTATTCTCTTATATTTCATTTTAAAACTTTTCTTTATAGTAGAAATCTTTTTTTGGATTTTGTAATGCCCTTTATGTCTTTAATTTCTTAAATAATCTGTTTATTTAACGTTTGGTACATTTATTGCATCTTACTTCAAATCTTCCTAAAATCTTTTCCTTGATTTTTAAGGACTAAGATTTTCGTCCTTTGCGAAATTTCATATAATTTTTTTTATTTATTAGAAAATCTAATTTTGGATTTCATGATTTTCTTATGTCTATCATTCCCTTACGTCTCTAGACTTGAGTGTACCTTTATGTCTATAGACTCTCAAGTGTACTCTCTGGACTCTAAGTTTACTCTTTCTAAGTATTACTCTATAGACCCTAAGTGTACGTTTTTTGGCTTTTGTAATTTTTATGGGACTTTCTAGCAGCATATTGATAATGCTAAAAGATTGATTGTTTATTAGTTTATTTTTACATATCATTCCTAAAAAAATTGATAGGACATATTTGTAAGTATATGCGCACACAGATATTTATGGATTTAGGATTCATGTAATTGCAATAATATGTAGTAAC